AATATGAAGCGATAAATTTGATTTTTTTTTTTTTGTTTTAGTCATTATGTATATTTTGGAATGTTGTCAAACAAGAACAACCTTCTTTGACTTGTCGTTTGCTATTCTCGTTTCAAAAAACATCAAAGGCTTCTTCTTTCTATCGCTTCGTATTCACTGAAGGCAATATTTTGAAATATCCCCTGATTTCTGTGAGCAATGTATATGCTTCCCTGTTACGTTAGATTCGGTCGATTGCTCGGAAATTGTTTCCTACAGGGACGAGAACACAGCCCCCGTGGATTGAGAGCATTCCGACATTGAAATGGGAAGATTGGTAATCGATGCCGCGCCACGCCGACTCCCTTCGACGAGAATCGCGTCTGTGGCCTCGGATTGTAGGTCAGCCACGCCGCCGGGCTCTCGATGGCTAGATATACGAGGTTGATGAACGCCCTGTTACGAATCAGAACAGCTCCGCGCTGTCGCGGACAGAACTAGACACGCCAGATGATAATGGACGATAAGGAGAGACGGAGAAGAACGAAAGAAGAAAGGAAAGATGGAAAGAAGACCAGAGAAGGAAAAGAAGCAGAGTAACTTCATTCCTTTCCCGGAGGGGGGAGGGAGAGAGAGGAGACGCGGAGGGTTTTGCCACCGCTGTATAATCCAGGAACGACGACCGCGGTAAATCCGGTGGCAACAAATGGATGAGCAGACGTACAAGTGGCCGTGCGTCCATCGAGAGGAAGGCCAAGGGGAAACCAATGTTCACGAACGAGGAAAATCCTCAGACGCGACAACCACACCACGCTCTTCCCCTTTGAAAAGGCTTCGGCGAAAAAGGCTCGCCCTTCGACCTTTCGTTCGTGCCTGGGCTTCTCGCGAGTCGAGTAATCCAAAGTGATCCAAGTGACTGACGAATATTATATATCTTATCTCTTGGCAAAGCTCTTCCAAAGGCGATCCAATTCGCAGGTACCTATTTAGCCTACATTCTGCTTGTTTCCTTCGATCGGGGTCGAATCTCCAAGAGAGAGAGAGAGAGAGAGAGGGAGATAGAGAATTGAACCTTGTCGCACTAGTTAAGTACTCACTTGGCTCGTCGTCGTAGGTAACGGTTAATTGCACGCCGATATTTCGAGGAACGAAACCGGGGCATGAAACCGGTGAGAAGAAGATGGAACGTCCCGTTTTCCCTGTTTGAAACCGATTGTTCCTCGCGAGAAAGCACCCACCTGTCGTCGAGTGTCTCTGCCACGAACGAAGAAGAACGTGCGAAAGCTCTAAAACTAAATAAAATGCCAAACGAACTGCCATTCGACGTGGGAAATCATGTCCGCTGAAGGTGTACGGTTACGATGACAACAACCAATGACATTGGCTATTCAAACAGAGAAGGTCGAGAAACGTGCAAAGAATGGAACGCAAACACGATGACTGTGTCACGCACGTTCTTCAAATATCACCGCGATATTATCGAAGGAACTTTTTCGTCGTGGATATTATATCTTATCTGCTGGTGTTTTGTAGGAATGAAAAGAAAAATTATCTTTGGAATGAGGCAGTTAATACATGTCAGATTTAAGAACTTTCATTGTTCTCCAAGCATGATAAACAAGATAATAATAATAAGTAGTAATAACAAAATAATAAAACAAAATACTAAGAAAAATATGGTTACATAAAATCACAAGATCCATAATGCGTTTATTATGCTGATAAACATTGGTGACCATCGTGGCCCATTGATTCACTCAATTACTCCTGATAAAACTGTTTTTTGAATATAAAAATAAAAAATATTTTTGATTATAATTGAATTGAATATAATATTTTTGAATACAAGAATAAAAAGAGTAAAAAGAACATAAGAATAAAAAATTAAGAATAAAGAATAAATATATAATAGAAAAGATATAAAAATAAATAAAAGAATATATAAGAATAAAGAATATTGGAATACCAATAGAGAATACTGAATAAAGAATAAAGAATATTGAATATTGAATTGAATATGATAATACATGTATGAGAATGCAAGAATAAAAGTGAATGACAAAATCGATGACGAAAACATGAAAATATCAGCTCCATCAAATGCAAGGTATATGATCAGTGGGGGAACAAATCACATTTTTGATCACAGATGACAGAATATAATATATAATATATAAGATTAAAGAAAAGAGAATAAAGCATATAAAAAAAAATGAAGACTAAAGAATAAAGAATATAAAAAATATATAAGAATAAAGAATATATAATATATAATATATAAGACTAAAGAAAAAAGAATATAACATATAATATATAAGAATAAAGACTATTGAATATAACATAATATTATAAAGAATATTATAAAGAAGACTAAAAGTGACAATAATAAAATTACTGAGAATATTATAAAGAATAAAAGTGACAAGAATAAATAGTGAATGACAAAATCGATGACGAAAACTTGGAAATACCAGCTCCATCGAATACTAAATATATGATTCCATCATCAGTGAGGAAAAATCATGTCTCTGATCACAGGTGACCAACGTGGCAAATGTTCACCAACAGTTTTCACGTATGAGATATATCTATTTGGAAGTTGAATTTCAACCGACAACGATAGTAGTAGTGTGTTACCGATACATTTTTCCAAATGATGAATAACCCATGGTGCAAGATGTCAGTTTTCTCTCGCGCATTTACACTGAGGATATTGCAACAGGCCGAGAGCAAGTTGATTTCACTGGCGGTATAAGCTGCTTGGGATCCCAAGGATCCCACCACCACATACCGTGGAGACTAACAAGATCGCGGAAACACTCGGATCTTTGTTGCAACCGTCTCGAGAATTAATTGCCCCGTTACGTAGCGCTTATACAAATTTATGTACACGTTACCTGCACCGCAAGTTCTCAAAGCCTACTTTACGCTGGTCCTGGTAACTATAGGGTGGGCCAAAAGTTTCTTCCCACCTTTTTCCTTTTTTTTTTTTGACAAAACATCGAAATATAAGAAAACACTAATTTTATTAATTTTCAATTAAATTTCAAACGTTATGTCTGAAAAACTATTTCTTTCACATGTTGACCGCCAGAGCGTTCACAGATTAATAAAAAAAATTGCGGATTTATTTTGTCTTAGTGATTTTTGACACATATTATACTTCAACTCTTTTAGGATTAGGTGGGTTAAAAAAATTTTAACCCACCTGTTATTACTCATAGTCATACAGTTAAATATTTTAATATTTCTTCCAATTTTTTTATATTAAAAAAAAAAAATTCTGTGCGACTTGGGTTTTTATTTTCTTTAAAATCGCGTGCCTCAAAGAGTTGCCTCACCGCGTGACTTAAATCGTTCTTGCTTCGATGGAAATCGAT